AGAATATCTAAGGTTCCCTCAGTGAGCTGTGAAAATCCTATATTCTTGTATTACTACAACTTCCCTATAAATTTGAAATTATTTCAAAATATAGGTTGGATCCTTTGATCTTCCTGGACTTTTAAAATGTTACTGAGATTAAAATCTTAGTGAGGCTTCTTTCACACCGTCCAAGCATATTGTATTGATGCCAACATAGCAGTTACTCAATAAATTTGTGTTCTATTAAGAGCAAATTTCCCAAAAAGGCAAAGCAAGGTTTCGAATTTTTTAAATTTCAGTTCCTGGATCAAACTCACTTCATTCTTGGACTTTTACGGCTTAACAGGTGTAGAGTATAACAGAATAGACATCCTTTGAGAAGGAATCTACTATCCCATTCAAAGCTAGATGGCAGAAATCAATTCAGAATTTATCTACTTAAGAAGACTATCAACTCTCTACACAGCAGTATTCCCAAAGTTGAAGAGAATATATTCCACCCTGATCTTTACAATTATGAAAACACTGTACCCGTACTCAAAATACCAGAAAGACTTTTGTCAGTTTTGGTACTGAACTTGGAAAATTAAACAGAATTTATCTATATTCCAAGAGGCAGTAACAGTAATAACATCAACATATTTATATGATGTTACAATTAGTTTGCAAATCACCTTCCTTTCCATTGTAACATTTGAGTCAGGTAAGCCAGGAATTATGTCCTATTCTATGAGACAGGAGAACTGAGACTTCCAGACTTTTTCAAGGTCCCCAAATTATCAGGTGGTAGGTCTAGAGCTTTGGCAAAATCCTTTTGGTTCTAAGTCCAGCTAACAGTGTGACTATTGCTTAACTGATATGTAACACCCTATAGTTACTTTATTCTCTCACAAAGTTTCTAGAAATATCATCTATTTCATTATTAAGACAAATATTGTAATTGTTTTTCATGAGACTAAGGTAGTCCAGCCACTCAACTTCTGATTCATTCTTTTTATTATTTTTTAAAGATTTTATTTATTTATTTGACAGAGAGAGAGAGAGAGACAGCAAGAGAGGGAACACAAGCAGGGGGAGTGGGAGAGGGAGAAGCAGGCTTCCTGCTGAGCAGGGAGCCCGATGTGGGGCTCCATCCCAGGACCCTGGGATCATGACCAGAGTCGAAGGCAGACGCTTAACAACTGAGCCACCCAGGCGCCCCTGATTCATTCTTTTTAAATTTCTTTTCAACTTAGAATGATCCATTCACTTTAGGTATGCTGTCACCAAATGGCAAGAGGATGTCACAGAAAAATTAGGCCAAAGTAAAAGGCATAAGTTTTCCCTCAGTTTCAACAGTGATTCTAGACTCCACACACCTGCAACGCCACTCACAATTTATAAGAGATCTTCACATTTTAATTAAAAGATTCATTAAAATAGCTAACCTTAAAGAAAAAGCAAAGCCAAAACTTTAGCAAATGTTGAATAAAGTACAAACTTTAAATAAAGCTCTTTACCCAACCCTCTTTTAAAAACCTAAGTGTCTTTCATAATGTATTATATTTTCCAACAACTGTTAATATAATTACATCTAAAACATAGATAACAACTGAGCCACCCAGGCGCCCCCTAAGTGTCTGCCTTCGGCTCAGGTCATGATCCCAGGATCCTGGGATCAAGCCCCACATTGGGCTCCCTGCTCAGCGGGAAACCTGCTTCTCCCTCTCCCACTCCCCCCTGCTTGTGTTCCCTCTCTTGCTGTCTCTCTCTCTGTCAAATAAATAAAAATCTTTAAAAAAATAATAAAACAGATAGATGCTGAGTAGAATATTAATCTTTAAAATTCACCCTGACTTAACTGTCAAAATACCTAGAGAGGTTTATCCTCAAATGGTTTCAAGCTTTAAAACCTATAATAATTCTTTCAGAAGCAGCCTCCTTTCACTTAATCTTATGTCTGTCCTGGCTCTTCTGAGCCAGTTAAAGGCCCATCTCTTTTCCAGCCTGGGTGGTGTTCCATTCTCAACTGATCCTTTCCCTACATAATATTCCCAAAATCTACTCCTGTCGCTTGCTAAGGTGTTGCTAGCTGGGAGCCAGAAAAGCCGAATTCTCCTCCAACTAGTAGAAGTCACCACTATCCAGAACTAGAGCTGACCACCCCCACCGTTCTAAAAATGGCTTACCTACAACAGCCACTGCTTTCTTTGTTCGTTAGCAGTAGCCTCTTCGTAGATTATCTTAGCAACGTGTACTAAATATGTTCTTCAGAAACTTGAAGAAGAAATTAAAGAAACAACATCCCTCACAATAAAGCAAATAAAAAATAAAGAGGCTTTATAAGCAAGGGCAAAGAATAACTGTTATTCCACAGTTCAACAACAAATTAGATTACAAATTTTAGTTAGGGCCCATATTCAGAAATGAGTCCTACAAAAGATTCTATAAAAATTTAATTATAAATGTCATCTCTAACTTTAGATAAATAAGCTTAACAACCTCCATCCAAATGGGAACTGGCATCATCCTCTGAGAAGCATACAGGATGAGAGCTAAGAGGGGAGTTCTGGCCAGACCACCCGGTTCCCAATCCCGGGCCTGCTGCTTATTTGCCTAACTTCTTTGTGCCTCACTTTCCTCATCTGTAAAATGGAAATGATAAATTGTACCTACCCAGAATGGCTACTAAGGAGGTTCAACTAATTAGAACAGACCCTGGCACAAACAGGGTAAAGTACTCAAGAGACGACCACTGCTGCTCCTGATGAGGAGGAGGAGGACTTACCCTTTGTCTAGTGTCTAACTTAACCTCCCAAGTGTCTCAAAACCTGAAAAGCACAGCTGGTTTATTAGCCTAATTGAATCTGTAGTAATTTCACTCAAATTATATTCTAGTTGGTTGGAATGGCACATTCCAGTGACTTTTCCCAGCGCAGCCAGAACCAATATGCTACTTTGCAACTAGGTCTGTTCACAGACTGGAGGGTCACGCTGTTACACAGTCATCAACACAGAGATTTCTTTTCTATAGGAACAAGCACATGAAAGCAGACTTCAACAACTGTGTGATTTCACTCTGTGTCAGGAGATGAGATGTTTTACAGAGGTGTGAGGGCTGAGCTGGGTTACAGTGCATAGCCTACCATTCTCATCCATACGCTCGGTCCAAGAGATATGTACTCCATGTGTGCCAGGACTGCACACCACACAAAGTGTGAGGTTACGTGGGAGAAAGTATACAAACAGATCTGCGGATTAGCACTTAGAGAGTACATCTCTGTCTCATTAGCCACAATCACAATAGCTGGCATGGACAAACTCCTGTCCTCCTCTTTCTTCAAAACACCTTTAATAGAGCTGCAATGACCAGGAAAGGTAACTTGTCTGCAGTCTGAGCTCTTCTCTCTTCCTTGCAAGTTCCTTGTCAGATGTGCTAATAATGAGTCAGAGAGTACCCGAGGGCACCCAGCAGGCAAAGAAATGAAAAGTAAGGATTTCTAAAATTAGTTCAAATCACTCAAATTTCTATGTCTAAGTATATACTGCTTTTTTAATAAGGTATATGTTTTCCTTGCGACATAAATTTTAATTTCATAGATGCTTTATACACTGATGCTTCAAAATTTGAGAAGGCCAGGGAAGAGCTCACGAATGTTTCAGAATCCAATAAAAGGGGTGCCTGGGTGGCTCAGTCGTTAGAGTCTGCCTTCAGCTCGGGTCATGATCCCAGGGTCCTGGGATCTAGTCCCGCATCGGGCTCCCTGCTCAGCAGGGAGCCTGCTTCTCCCTCTCCCACTCCCCCTGCTTGTGTTCCCTCTCTTGCTGTCTCTCTCTCTGTGTCAAATAAATAAATAAAATCTTAAAAAAAAAAAAGAATCCAATAAAAACTACAGACCCTCTCTCTGACCCTTCAAACACCATATAGACATGTATATCCTGACTCTGCCAATCTCCTAAGGGCCAAGCATGGAGCCCCTTTGAGAGCGTGGGTCCAGCTTATGAATTTCTTTTCAACTGCATTTTGTGCAGATTTCCAAAAGGCAGGGAAGGCAAAATATAGCTTTAAGTCTCTTTAACACAGCTTCAGTGCCAAATACTTCAAAATCCACAAATATTTAAAGGCAGACAATCTAGAAATTCTCAGAAAAACCCTTATAAGGTCAAATACATCATTCTTCTTTTCAATATGAGAATTTATAGCATACTTATTTTGGCAATTCACCTACTTCATCATTCCATACCTCAGAGAGACAGTTTTTTTTCCTAAATAAAGAGGCATATATTTAGAGGGAGAGGAAAGTGGCAGGTCTTCACACTCCTGAGAGGTACAAGTTGGGGGTCACCGGGTGGGGAGGTGTTAGTGGGAGGGTGGACAGAGCAGAGATGGAGCCAGCCAGCTGCACCTGCTGCTCAAGGAAGAACAACGAAGTATCTCAAAGAGACACCTTATGCCTGGCCAGCAGATGATGGAGACACTGCTCAGAACTGGCCAAAAGACTAGAGCTGAATTTTTTTTAAATCCTTTTAAAACTAAAATGTTATCAAGTTTATTCTTTCTGTGAGCACCCAAAGAACAAAGAGACTCTACTGGACCTATAAATACCAATTAAGGAGAAGAAAGTGTGTGTGGAGGCAGATAGTCTCACAGAAACAATTATGGGTTTATTCAAATAGAAGTGAATTACAGGGAGAAAAATAGTAATTTGGGGGTGGGGTAGAAGAAGGAAAGAATTGGAAATTTAAAAGAAGTGGCTTTCATTTGGACCTGCGTAGATGTGCTGTGGTACTGTTCACACACATCTTCCCAGAACAAGAGCAGTGCGGGGCTTCTGGAAAAACACTTCGGACAGTGGAAATAACAAGCCATGCTTGTCCAATTACAAGCCAAACACCATAAGTACATCACAGCATTCTTCACATTCTTCCATGTATTGACAAAAAAACACAAACCATTTGTACCTATTCCAGACATGGTTGTTTAAGCTCTTTACACAGTATAATCATTATGAAGAACACAAGGAGACAGCTTCACTTACATGGTTAATGAAGAGACTCTTGCGTTTTTCTCTCACTGTGAAAACAAAAGATGCAACAGATGTTATACACCTGCATGCCAATCCCGGGCAGGTTGGTGAGGACAGGGCCTCTTGTGTCACGGCCTCATCCTTCCACCAACCAACATACCCAATGCTCAATTACCATAGATAAGACTATGTGACCAGCACAAATGCAGATCTGAACTTGAGCAAAATATAATATAATAATAGAGCAAAATATAGACCCACTTAAAGTACGGCACCCTAACAAAACAACTGCAGCTACGATTAACTGAGTGGCAGCAGCTAATAACTAAAAAATCTATTACGTAGTAATTTCATAAAACTTGTATGCATCCATTAATTTAGAATGATTAACCACTAATAAGACTATTTATTTCTAACCCAACCCGACCCATAAAGGTCCACACACTTTGGGTGAAATATAAAAAGGTAACAACAATAATACCCACAACAGCATTAAGATAGAAGACAGATAATGTACATCAGAAGTGTTATTTATCATGGAAACCAAGTACGCTACAGGTTGGGTGCTAATGAATAAAACCAGGTTTCTGTCTAGGAGTCTTTACGGAGGAGCATCTTGGAGCACCCTCTCCCTCAGTAAGGCTGGTAAAACTCACAATAAAAAATACTGCCCTGTCTAAAAGATCATTCCTCCTACTACTGTCTGTGCATCGTGGCTCAGCCTTCCCTACACCAGACCTTAGTGTTTCCCAAAACAGGGGTCCTTAGCCCCAAAGATGTAGAAGAGTGCCAGGGAACACACAGGATTACTGAAATAACCTAATATTGAGTTTTGCCTCTTTTTTCCTGAACACTTACTTTTGAGGGTACATATTAGTCAGCTGACACGTTTATTGAGTAGGGCACTGTAGAGGATATGAAGAATAGGTTTCCTTCAAGGAGATGACACCTCGGTCCCCAGGAATCAATAATGCTACCTAATGTATATTTGCACCCTAAACATACAAACAGCATACAAATCCAGCTCATCTGAGGGAGGAGGACTTTTTTTCTTGGCAGTCCATGACCCAAGGCGGATTCAGTAGTTTTCAAAAGCCCTCCGGCTCATCTGACTGAGGGACTGGGGAAATGTTTTCCTATGTTTACATTCTGTTCTTCAATTCACAAGGAAACATTTCACTTTTCCTTAGAAGTCTTATCATCTCTGGAAACATTTCACTTTTCCTTAGAAATCTTATCATCTCTGGAACTCTGTCCCTCTTCCTGTCTCAACGATGTTTGGGATACAAAGCAAAAACCAGCCTGAGGATACTGCTGAGACAAGGTGCCTATACCTGGCCATCAGATGGATTCATCTGCAGGCCACTGGCATGCACTGCACACGGACTGTGAGGCAGCCTGGCCATGCTGGAGGCCAGACCAGCACCCTCGGAGCTCAAATGCACATACAACAGCAGCAGACTCTGTCTGCTATCCACACTGTGGAGGCTGCATGGTTTCTTTTGACCTAATTCCAAATAAGCATCATCCACATGTGAACCACAACAAAGGAAAAATGAGGGTCTGGCAGAAGCACTGGGTTTTAATTTCCTGGCATACATACTTTGTGTGCGTGCATGTATTCTGTGCACGTGTGTGTGCACATGTGCATGTTTTCCTTAAATTAATTCAATACTAAATTATTATGCATCTATTCAAGGTTGCTCTACCACATGGGGGTATGATGACATTTCTATGGTGGTTTCCCATTGCCTGAAGGGATCTGGAAACACTTTCTACACAGGCAGTAGACCTGACAGGGTTAACAAATTCCATAGGTGACAGTCCTTCCTAGGGCATCCCAGAAATAGGTTTGTGCAGAGGCTTTGTGTCTCCCAATTCTGGGAACTGCCTCCAAGGTCACCTTAATGCCCTGTATCACCCAGGCTCCAACAGATAAAAGATATCCATGCCTCAAGGAATATTAGAGCTCCTTATATATGGGCACTATTGAAAAAATTAAGCATTATTCAAAAATAGAAGGAGAGGGTTGAAAATCATAATCTTCAATAGTACAGGCTGAAAGTTTTAACAAGAAAGTTTATAACAAAAGAAAAACAAACAAAACCACACAAAACAAGTAGGAATACTGTAAAAGTGTATACTATTCTTGTACATCTCCTATAAAACTAAATCTCAGGGAAGAATCAGGCCATTTCCATGGAGCCCAACTGGTTCCAATTAGAATAGTAAAAAACAAAATTCACTAAGACATTATAAAATACCTAAGGATAAGGTATCCAAATCTATTACAGAATATCTTAGGCACTCACTGTTTTTATACAAGTGATACCTATACCTTATCCTATTTCACTCAGAGCAACTGGGCCTGCTGAATCTAATCCGAAACCTGGGTTCACGGGATTATTTTGTATTCTCTATTATTGTGTGATGCCACTCCTAAGAGGGCCTTTGCAAAATCGAGTCTACATAGTATCTGAAAGGCTCTTCCACACGTATATCCCTATGACTGACTTCCTTGTGGAATGTCTCCTGAATCCCCAAACCAACTGCCAGTCCCTATACAAACAAAAATAATTCCCAATATCCATGCTGATATAGGTGACCCTGACCATTACTGCCTGCATCCAGGTAGATATCCATTCCTAACTGGGCGAATTCTCTCTCCTGAGAATCTGGAGATGCTAGTACATCACTGCTAGCACCTCATCTGAAGGTATGGGGTGGGTGGGATGAAGTGCATCTCCTTCTGTTCAGAAAAGAGTTAACATAGAAGGTCTGACTGCCACCCCTGAAATGGCCTGTTTGCAAGAGAGGCCCTAAGCTGGTGTCTGGGAATATGGATTTGGGGAGGGTTCCTACCATTCCCTAACCAATAAAAGTGGCTCACTGTGCTTACATTGTGCAAACAATACAGTTTACGCTAAACACCTGCTTTCCTCCTGGGAGTCTAGAATTTTGTTACACACGGGCAGAGGCTGCCTGCTTAACCAGTCCTCAGTGAAAATCCTGGGCTCTGGGTCTCTAAGGAGCTTCCCTGACTGGGCTGTCGCTGGGGAAACCTAGTGGATCCTGCGTGACTCTACTTGGAGAGGACTCTTGGAAGCCTGTGCCTGGTTTCCTCTGGACTTCGCCCATGCACCTTTTCCTTGTATTAATTTTGCTTTGTATATGTTCTTTGTAAAAAGCCACAGCCATGAACATAACTATATCTTGAGGGCTATGACTCCTCCTACTGAATCACCAGAACGGGGGTGCGGGGGGGGGGGGGTCATCTTGAGGATCTCCAACACAGCTGCCATGCAGAGAAGAACGGAGGGCAGGAAGGGGATGAGGAGAAGGTAGGTGCTTCCTTATTCTAATGGCTTTTAGTCCTTATTCCAATGACTTGTAAGGTTTCTCAGATACCGTGGTGCCCTTACAATTAATTATTCCTTTTCCCCTAAGCTAGTAGGAACAGGATTAAGACACTACCAGAGGAGAAAAAATAGTAAATGAAATCTCTTATACTGGTATCACCAAAAAAGATGAATTCTTTTTTTTTTTTTAAAGATTTTATTTATTTATTTTGAGAGAGAGAGAATGAGAGACAGAGAGTATGAGAGGGAGGAGGGTCAGAGGGAGAAGCAGACTCCCTGCCGAGCAGGGAGCCCGATGCGGGACTCGATCCCGGGACTCCAGGATCATGACCTAAGCCGAAGGCAGTCACTTAACCAACTGAGCCACCCAGGCGCCCCCAAAAAGATGAATTCTATTGCTTAAATCTAAATCTGTCTTTAAAATAAATTTGAAACTACTGAGGCCATTATCAGCTCTGAAATTCAAATGGCTTTTAGCCATTTTGTTTTATGTAATGGCATAAGCAATATGCCAATTCATGTCTGATATTAGCTTTAATCATTTTTAGACCTGAGTATTTTGGGTTACTAATAACATATCAATCAAATTTCTCTGCAGTTTTCAGAGTTTCTATATAACTGAGTATCTATTATAATAGTCAGATTTTGAGAAAACAGACAATAAATTGACGTGGATCAGGTGCCTGGGTGGCTCAGTCGTTGAGTATCTGCCTTCAGCTCAGGTCATGATCCCAGGGTCCTGGGATCAAGCCCTGCATCAGGCTCCCTGCTCAGCAGGAAGCCTGCTTCTCCCTCTCCCACTCCCCCTGCCTGTGTTCCCTCTTTCGCTGTGTCTCTCTGTCAAATAAATAAAATCTTCTTAAAAAAATAAAATAAATAAATAAATAAAATAAATTGATGTGGATCATACATCTCACTTTCCTGGAAAAGGAATAATCGCTCTCTCCTTTGATCCCATCCATGATGGTTTGGTAAGAGAATTTTTAATTGGCTATTGAAATAAGTCCATAATGACTTAAAGAGAAAATGTATTTGAGGCTTCAAAAATAAGCCACCTGGGGCGCCTGGGTGGCTCAGTCGTTAAGTGTCTGCCTTCGGCTCAGGTCATGATCCCAGGGTCCTAGGATCGAGCCCCGCATCGGGCTCCCTGCTCAGCGGGAAGCCTGCTTCTCCCTCTCCCACTCCCTCTGCTTGTGTTCCCTCTCTCGCTGTGTCTCTCTCTGTCAAAAAAATAAATAAAATCTTTCAAAAAAAATACAAATAAGCCATCTAAAATCAACAAAAACACTACTGTTAGCATTAAGTCTTCTCCAGATAAAATGAGAAAATGGCAGCGTTTGCCATCTGAGAACCAAAACTTCACTTAGGTTGCCACGTGACATTCCCTTGTCACAATGTCATAGAAGCAAAATTTCTTTACTTTTAAAAATACAACTTTCTAATTACTGAGGATTTGTTAACGATCTAAATGCAATTACAGCTAACCTCTTCTACAGACAGGCATTTAAAAAATTATCTTGGTTTCCCCTGTTCCATCTCTAAAATAGATCTTCCAATGGCAGGGGTCAGCCACTATTTTGACACAAAATGGGAGGACTAAATAAGTCCTAAAATAGGTAATCCAACATTCTTCCTTTGAAAATGAGGCAAGGCGTGACCAGACGGGGGGAAGACCGGGGATGGCTTGC